GGGGGGGGGTGTCTCCACCGGAGCGGGGAGCAGAGGTTGGGGTAACGGGGAAGCACCCCCGAGCCCCACGGAGAGGCTGAGAAATTTTTTGGCAATGCACCGAGTGCGTCGTGGTGGGTGCCCAGGACCTCATGGCGGCGGGCTGGACACTGGCCCCGTGGGGGTCTGCGTGGGCTGGGCTGGAGCCACCCACAAAGGGGACAGCGGAGGGTGGGGTAGTTACACCAAACCTCGCCGCTGGACGCAGTTCTGGATGGAGCAAAGGGCTGAGACCCTGCTCCTCTCCTCCTTGGCTATTCCAAGGAGGAATCGGCCTCTACCCCCAGTTCTGGATGGAGCAAAGGGCTGAGACCCTGCTCCTCTCCTCCTTGGCTATTCCAAGGAGGAATCGGCCTCTACCCCCCATGCTCTGGAGCTGCTGCCTGGAGGACAGGGGCCCCCTCCGCGCTCAGGTGTTTGTTGTGAAGAAGCAGAGGTGTAGGACAAAACTGCTGGAGGGGCAGCAGCGGAAGGTGAGCTCTTGAACAGGCCCATCCAGCTCATGGTCCTGCCGCCCAGGAGTGAAGAAAGCCGGTGCCTGGGCGAGAGCGCAAAACCCGAGCAAAAGCTTGTAGTGCTTCCCCGTGGCTCCAAGTATCTGCAGCTTGGTGAAGGGGAATCACCTCTCTAAGTTGAAAGGCTTTTCTTTTCCAGAAGTGCCTCACCCTCTCTTGAACCAACATAAACGTTCTGCTTCTCCAGCCCCCTGTGGCAAGGAGCTTCCCCAAGCAGTCACCTGTTCCACCTAAACCTGCCTTTTACAGGCTTCATTTAACACCCCAGCTCTTGTATTTGAAGAGAGTGAAGTCCCTCTGCATGTCACCTGTAGTTTTATCTCTACCCTGTCCCCTCTCAGGCACCTGGTTTCCAGACAGAGGAATCCAGCTTGGCTGGAAGGTTGTCCAGACTTCCAGTGCCCCAGGGCTTTTGCAGACCCTGTTCCAGCTGTACTGCATCCTTCTTGGGATGAAGGGACCTGTGTTTGGGTGCTGGTGCACCAGTGACTTCACAGGAGCAAAATGTTTTTCATTTTCTAATGTCTCAAGTTTCCTAATGTCTCATTTGATTTTCTGATGGCTACTGAGCACTAAAGCTGATGTTTTCATGGACCCATCAGTCATCACCCCAAATGTCACTCCTGAGTGGTAATGGTCAACTCAGAGCCCACGGTGCAACACTAAGGGCTCCCACCTGCATAAATTCACCCTTATCCACGCTGAATCGACCTCCTTATGTGGAGAGGACCTCTCCATCCCCACCAGCCCATCAGAAAAAGGAAGCAGGAAACAGGAATTGTCCCTTTCTGCCACCTGTCATTCATCATTCCAGCTCACAGGTGAACATGGGGCTGGCACAGAGCCATAGCTCTCCCGTCGGTCACCTCGCACTGGAACGGGGAACACGATACTCTTGTCCCTCCCCTCTCCACGTTGCTTCTGGCAAACAAGGAGACTTGGGCAGGAACTTAAGGTCCAGCTCCATGGGTGGCCGAAGCCACCCTGAGCTGCCACCAAAGGGGTCCCCAACCACGTGTTCCTGGGGCACCAGTCAATAGCTCAGGGGCTGCACAGGTGGTTGAACCAAGCTGAGACAGCCAAAATCCAGTACGCCTTCACAAGCACTTCCAGCTCCTTTGGATCCCTCTCACCAGGTCTGACCCCAGCCCAGCCCTCACCAGCAGTAACACAGCTGCAGTAGCACAGGCACAGCCAGTGCTGTAGGAAGGCGTCACCCTCTAGTGACACAAAGGCACTTGCTTGGAAAAATACCTGTGTATCCTCAGCATCGTACCACCCAGCAATGCTTCGGGAGGGGGGGCAGGCTGAGCAAGTTTTCCTCTGCTGAAATCGTGCTGACCAAATACTCCCTGATCATGAGCTATCCCAGGCACTTTATTCCCTTAAGATAACCTTTTCCACCAATTAATCACATCTGACCAGCCTGCCACTCTCCACCTTGCGCAGAAAGCCTTTCTGAAACACGACCTGACCACAGGCATGGAAAATTTCAGCTTGGATCAGCTGCCTGGCAGAGCCATCCGCAAGCAGATGGTAGGAGCGGGAAGCCCAAGAACTGCCGTTGTCATGGCAGTGCCGGAGAAGCCGGCCACGATCCCCAGCACCAGCTGCCCCCAGGAGAGACAGCAGCGGAGACAGCAGTGACTAGTTCTCCTGGCTCGTGGGGAGCTCTGGACCAAGGTGGGCTCCACTCGTTGCAGCGCAGGGCGGCAGAGCGGGGCTGAACCCACCAGCAGCAATCCCAAGCTGCTACATTAGCTGCCCCCGAGCTTCTCCAGCCACACCATCGGCTCTTCCACTGCTCCAGCAATGCAAGAGTGCTTGTGTTGAAGAAGGGGGGGGTCCTTCTGGGAGGCAGTGCTACCCCCCAGCATCCAGGCAGTCAGTCTCCTTTCCTGCAATAGGACCTATCATTCATCCCTGCCTTCCCCATCTTCACCTTGGGAAGCCATTTCCTTGCTAATAGCTCTGGCCACACACAGAGGAACACAGAGTCCTTCTTCACCTGGTCAGCACCAGAGACTACTCTGTCTGTGTGTCCCTACAGGTGGAATGAAGGTGTCTCCAGAGGGGAAATGTTGCCCACCCTGCTTCTCACCATTTTAGCAGTCAAGTGCAGGGCTGGCAGCTGAGGGTCAAGTGGCAACACAGTTCAAGGTGGTTCATGGGGATCCTGCAATGGTACAAGTCCCACACCAGCCCAGTTTCCAGCTGGGGATTCTCATCCAGGAGGTGGAGACCCCATAAGAGCAGTACCTCTTCTCTCCAGCTGCTGAACCACAGTAGCATGTTCCCGTGGGTAGGAAGCACCCAGCCGTGATGGAAATGGGAGGGGGTCTCAGCCCTGAATTTGCAAAAGCCTCATTGGTCCCTGTAGCTGCTGATCTTCAGTGTGTTTGTCTACAGTAGTGGGCAACTCCTTCTCCACCACCACCTCTGCTCCCTACCAAAAGGCCACCCACAAGCTCTTCCAACACCTCTGCAGGTTTCCTTACTTTAGCTGGTTCTCCAACTCCACAGTGGGCTCTCTAGCTCCAGTGATCTGCTTTCACATGAACGCAAGGGCTCAAAGTACCTTGAACAAGGGGTACTGACCCATTTCCCAGCCTCAGTAATTAACAGCATACTGAATCTTCTCACACTGCCTCCTGTTGTGAAAAGGGATTGCTGCAGCAATAGCAGAGGATGCAGGCAAGAGCAAACAGTAGTGTGAAGTTGTCTCCCCAATACAAGCCTTGCTCTGGGAACACCTGAAAACCCTTAAACAGTGACCCAGGTGTAATTAAAACCCTTCAACACGATGGCCCAGGTCTTTGAGCCACCCCCAAGAGCTTCTCCAACTTGAACTTCGTCCACAAAGAACAGAACTGCTTACAGACTCTCCCTTGCACCATCCTGTTTCCTACAGGCAGCTACCACTGCACGCTGCCTGGCACCAACGCACTTCTTACGCACCTGAAGCAATCTTTTACCAAGTTTTCAGCAAGTGCCCCAACTCCTGTGCACCAAGCCCCAGGGATGTGACTCAGGCTCTCGGGGTCATCAGCTCAGCCCTGAAAGGTCTCAGAAACACTCAAGATTCCCCCCACCCCCCAGCGTTAATCTAGCACACCCCACACTCATCAAGCAGGGACAGGACAAAGTAATCACAATCACTAACATTTAGAAAGCTGCAGCCCTGGAAGGCAGCACAGAATATTTTATTTCTCTCCATTTGGAAACTGGTTTAAAGTAACAAAGCAAAAGCTCTCAAGCCTTCTTTGCTATCCAAGTCGGGTGGGAACACTGCGAATGTCACTGTCCAGCAATGTTGGGCAGAGGCCTGAAATCCTCCTTTAATAAAGCCGATGCTGATACCTGCCTAGAAGTCCCTCTGGGAAGGGTCTGCCTGTTTAAGAGGCTGTTTCTGCCTCAGCACACACAGAAGGATCTTCCTGTAGATAAACCTTGGACTTTTTTCCCCAGCTGCCAACCATCTGCCATGGCCAGGCAGCACCAGATGACGAGTCCACTTTGCTTCCTTGTCCGATATGGCAGCTACTCACCTCTCCCATTCCCTACCAGAGACACTTGCTCCTCCTCCTCAAATCGGAAGAGGAGATTGCAATTTGGAGATCACACTGCTCACCCATTCAGCTTGATTCACCTAAACACAGGGGTAACCCATATTCAGATGGGCTGGGTTTGCTGCCTCAGTGCCTGGCCCAGTCTCCCTTGACTTAGTAAATGGCCTCACCGATGCTGCACGCTGGATGTGGCAGATTAACACCCTCCACTGTCTCTCATCTTAGCGAGATGTGCAGCAGGCATCTTGCTCTGAGGACTGCAGAGGCAGTTTGATGCTCCCCAACCACCCCCCTGCTCTGGGGGTCTGCTTGCCTCAGCTCTAAGGTTATCTAAGGGCCTCAGCTATTTCTTCTACAGCCAGTAGCCTCTTCCTGACACAATATAAAGCAAATGCATTAACAACCTATTCTTTAGAGGGAAGTCAGAAGAAAACTCTGGAAAGTAAATGGCAGATTTGCTTATTCAGGAAAAAGCCTTCTCGGACTCAGACTCCTTCTGTTGTAACTTCCGAATGAGTTCCAGCAAATTCATCTGTAAAGTCAGCTCCTGCAAAGGAAGAGAGATGTTTTTGCAAGGATAAGATGATCCCATTCCCCGCTGCAGGAAGCAGAAAGGACTGGTTTGTACCACCCACTCAAGAGCTACTAATCTTCAGGGAACAAAAGAAAAAGCATGCAGATACAAAACAAAGGCTTCATCTCGTTTAAGCATTCCTATAAAATACAGGGCAGTAATATCTTAAGACATCTGCTGCAAACTGCAGCTGTCTTAGGAATCCCAGGGCTTTATGATTCATTAAGGATTCAGAAAGGTTCTTTCTTCTTGACTGTGGTTTAGTGATAAATGCAGTGAGGGCCAGCCAGTTCTGCAGGTTTCCCCTTCTGGAGGGGCCTCCAGGAGCAGGGCAGCAGTGTCCCCTGGCACCTGCACAGCCACACACACCGGAGGAGGTTCTCCAGGTTGGCACAGCTCCCTCCCTTCGTCCTCCAACAGCATCTTCAATGCCCTGATCCTTTTCCAGCACAGATGGGCAGGAAGCAGGAGGGATCGCTTTGGGTGCTAAGTGGAATCTAAGCCATGTGCAACACACCGCTGTGCTGCTGCATTGAATTCCCTCTAGGTATTCCGTTCCCCTTCAAAAACTCCCTTTTCCATGACTGTAATCAAGTGGAGACCACCGTCTCCTGTAGTCACCAACATCAGCTTACGGCTTCCTTACCATCTGCTTGTTCTTTACTCACATTTAGCTCACAAGCCATTTAGCACAGAGACTACATGGTGGAACAGCTAATTCAGTGAACCTTGTTCTGTGACTCAGGTTTGCAGACATTACATTATGGAAATAAAAATCTATTTTTGTACAAATATATCAACTGCATAAGTAGACATTTTATACAACAGACTGGGAGGAAACATATCAGCTGATGGGAAATGCATGGAGAACAGATTCCAGGAGTGATTTCTTATACGATGGTGGCATTCACAGGTACAAGTCAAGGTCTGGGTCTGGTTTGCCAGCTATTGTAAAGGCAAGCACAAACAAAACCCAGCAAACCTGTTAAGAGTTATTACTTACAAAAATAACATTAAAGGCAGGGGCAGGAGGGGAGAAAAAGAGCTGCTTTCATTATATAGATGAGGAATAGCAGCACAGGAAAAATAAGAGGCTTGTTCAAGGCTACACAACCAGGAATTGTGTGGGTTTTAGAAAATGCCTGTTTAACTAACTTAGTTTAAGCCGTCTTTTCTCACTAGTAGGTCTTTATCAAAGTGAAATTTAATCAGCTGAAAAAACAAGAGTTAAGAACAGCCTGTTTCTGCATTCCCTGCAAACTTCTGTGGCATTACAATGAGACTTTGGAAGTTTTATTTTTTCATTCCTGCGGTGGCGTTAAGACAACAGAGAAAAACCCAGGCGATTGCTCACAAGTTTTAAGAGCAGATGCACTGGGGAAACCGAGAACAATTTTCTAATCACAGTCTGAGATCATCATCTCCAGCAAGTCACATGCAAGAATTAGCAAGATCCCTAATAAAAAGACTTCTTGACGGCAATTTGTACAGCTAAGCTAGGTACAAAAGTGATAAACCTACGCAGCCACTTATTCCAGTATTATTCAGACCCATTCAAGAGTCACAGGACTGCAGGCTGTTGGCACAGTGTTTCTTCCCTCCACACTGGGAAAAATATTGCAGAAAGCTGGGGATGTTGCCCAGTCTAATGGGTTTCTGCTCCTTTGTTACGAACCTAGTACTAGGTCTGCCCACAGCACATTGCCCATCAGCTGATGAGGCAAAGGACAGATCATTCTGACCCAGAGATTCAGAATTCATTATGAGCAAGACTTTTTTTTTTAAAAATAAAGACATTAACACAAGAGTACTGTCAGATCTTACACTCCCTGCCTAAACACCAACCTGTGGGTTGGTGGTGATGTAGAAGCCAGACACCCCGGCCTTCTCCAGAGTGCTCTGTTGGTCTATCACTTTTTGGTCCAGTTCCAAGACTATCTTCTCATCCATCATTCGCTGTTCCTCTCGAATTCGTTGCTCGACAGCCTGAGAAAGATAACAGTCAACAGAAAAAAAAGTGGAATATCTGCCTTCCTCCTATCTTTTTCTCATCTCTAAGTCTTTTACTAAAATTGAAGAGCAACTAGATTCTGAAGCACTCCTGCTGTGCTGAGTCCCACGGACAGCAGAGGGCAGCAAGCACAGCCCCAGACTTTACCTCCACTTGCCATGTCTTACAGCAAAGCTACCACTCAAGAAAAGGCAGGCAAGTCACTTGGACCAGCCTGCTTTCTGTGTGTTTAGAGGCCAGCAAAAACCATGAGTGACAGATTGGTATGTGAATGACTTTTCCTGATGAGCCAACGTTTGAGCAGCAGGTGATGGCTGAGCACTCCAGCAGCACAGGTTCAGAAGAAGTCAGCAGTCCAAGAATCTCATACCTCTCACAGGACTGGTGAGGCTGAAGAAAGACTTGGAGGAGTAACACAGGCCACCAAAGCTTATCAAGGTCCCAGCTCGGACACCTCCCTGAGCCTCCATGTTCCCTGGACACTAACATACAGAGCTGGAGCTGTAAATCACACCCAGATCCCACTTATTCACTAAAGGAGCTGAACTCCTCAAAAACCTAACTTTGCAACTGGAAAGCCAGCTGAAGTTTCGCTTGGGACTACAGTGTGCTGGGGCTCTGTTTTTGGCAGACCAAGAACATTATCAAACAGGGACTTCACAAAATAGCCCCAACCAGGAGAACACAGCCCCTCCCGCCTTGCTGACATCTGCCTAAACCTCAGCAGAGAAACCTCGGCATTGCCTCTGAAGAAGAAATGGAGCACAGCAACCACGTGCCACATCAAAGGCATGTTGGAAATCAGGAGTGGTGGGCATGCTCTAGGAGCACTCACATGCTCTGCTAGCTGCAGAAAGGGGCACTGCTAGCCAGTTCTGGAGCAAACCTCAACCCACCAGAAACTCTGCCGGAGAGGGGAGAAGAGAGCAGAAGGATTGCAGGGGACGAGGACAGCCCAGCTCAAATAAAAGGCCACATGTGTGCAGAATTGAGGCAATACAACCTTACTGGGTTGCACTGAGCAACAGACTTCTTTCGCAAGCCACAGGGAAAGTCAAGAAGCATCAAATCTCATCTAAATACAAAAGAAAGCACATTCTCTTGCAAGAAATAAATGGCACAAGTTTCAACATTTTACTCGTGCAGCGCTGCCCCTTTGTAACACCGTAAACAGAGGCACACGTTTAGCTGGAAATATTCATGGGGGTAAGTTACCCTCACTGCACAGAAAGGGAGAAGTCACAAAGCCCAGGATTTCCTACACCAGTGGCTGGTGGTTTAAAAGACCTCAGCAGATCCATCTGAGAGGGAAGCCGAAAGCCTGTGCACTGCTACAAGTCCTGGGGAAAATCCAGAATTTGAATGACAGAGGTCTCGGCCCTGAATGGTCTGGAAAAGAGCTGAGGTTAAGGAGGATGCAGGACTGTGATTCACCAAAAGATTACTGTACATCAGGTGCTCCACAGAAGACACTTGGGGCAGGATCTTAACAGAATAAGTGTGAAGAAAGACAACTTCAGCCTCAGGAAAAGGGAAGGTAGAGGGGCTCATTGCCTCCTTCACTATGGGATGCTCATGAACCTAAGGAAGCTCTGTCCTTACACTTCCTTCAGTCTAGACGTTCATTCTCTTTGTGGAAGGTACAAAGGATTCAAATCCCTCACTTCCCAAAGACTCTCCTTCCTCCCAGCCAGCTTGGGGGATGGAAGATGCACCATACCATCGTCTCCTCCACTTACTGTGCTGGAGAAGTGACTTTCCTTGGGTTTGAAAACAAACCAGATCAAGTGCCTACGTACTGTTTAGGGCTGGCAACTGATTCTGGGCTACAGAAAAGTGCCAAAATCTTGGAGAAAACTAAGACTTAAACACAAGCTTTTCCTTCAGCTCTGGTGGCTGGTGACCCTGTATGATGGGCAAAGCTGTTCTAAATGCTGTGGGTTCCACTGAGAAGCCACATCTAAAAACTGCATCTTGTATTACCTCTCCTGGGAGCCCAATCCCAAGCTATCTCGTGGGAGCTGGTCTTCGAAACCTTTAACCACAGAGGGCAGCTCCGATTAGACACATACCAATTGTTACTGAGGTGATCAATCTATTCCTGAAATGCTCTACAGCAGAAATACTAGAGGATAAAAAAAGGGAAGAAGTAACTCTAGTAACACCTGGCAGAGGAAAACAGAAGAGAAAGGCAGAGGGAAGGTGGAAGGAAGCAGGAAGAAGCTGCACATCATGTAAGACAAGGAGAAATGGCACATATACAGTCTACTTAATGAGTGAAGACAACATTGGAAATGCTTTAAAATAGGCAATATACATTATTACTTGCTGCAAGTATAAGTTACTTAGAAGTAACAGGGACAGCTAATAGAGGTCCAGCCTGGCTTTAGTCACCTCAATAGGAAACGAGGGACACGGAAACACCACGACAAAAGATCCAACAGCTAGTGCTGATACGGTGTTTGCCGCAGGCAAAGGTCAGGAAAAAGCCTGTATATAAACAGTTATCTGTTTCCCTTACATGGAGTAAAGTAACTTCCCCCCTACATTTAAACTCCATCGATTAAGATAACTAGCTACTTGCAATCTCCTTTACCTTATAAAACTGCCTCTATCTTATCACCAATGTACAGATAAGTCCTTTGGGGCTTACTGTACTGCTCGTGCTGAAGTGCCTTTCTCCAAATGCCTTTGGATGCTCGCAGAAACTATCCCCATGCTTACGTATCTCAAGGTACTTCCTCCTTATCACTGCTACTAAGTAAAATGTGATTTTTTTTTTTTTTTTTGAGTACTCTGTGCTTTCTACTTGCTATGACATAATGGCAGATTTCACGTATCTTCTCCGTGTTTTCTATCAACTTGCTCTCTATCCGTATAGAGGCTTCAGCCCATCATATAACAAAGAATTGTTAAAGCACTGTGGAGGGCACCGCTCTTTTGGAGTGGGCTCCTGAACTTCCACGATTCCCAGATTACACCTGGACCGCAGCTATCCGAGATGGCAAGAGCCTGGGCCCCCGCTCTTGCGGGGACAAAGGGCAGAGCAAGAGGAGAGGAACCCCAAGTCAGGGTGAGGAACGTAGGGCTGTGCCAGCAACACCAGACAGGATGGCTGGCGGCTTGCAGGGCTGCAGGGGGTGCAGGTGATTAGTTCAACCCTCTGGAGATGCTGCGATGCTGGAGCCGTCCTGCAGCAAAGGGGCTGTGAGCCCCCCGGGGAAAGGGACACAACCTCCACACCAGTCCACCCATCCCTTACCTCCATCTCCCGCTGCTGGGCGGCCCGGAGGAGCGGCAGGTTGTGGGGTCTGCAGCACTGCTGTGCCTCCTTGTGCCGGTGGAAGAGCTCCTGCTTCAGCCCTGAGACCACGGGGATGGGTGCTAGGTCAGGGCACGCTGCTGCCACATCTCCTCTCTCCCCGCTACGCGTGTTCCCTCTCAGTGTCCCCACCGCTGCCACATCTCCTCCCTGCCACTACGC